GGGTTTGGCGGGGCGGGACAGGGGGGTTTGGAGCCGAACCATCTGGCTCACGAGCCAAAATGACATTCGTGTCAGCTCAAAAATCAGATTGGCCCACCCCGGATTGGATCGAAATTTAGTAGGATCGATCCGGTTAAAAAAATTCAATCCGATTTCAAGCCGGACATGAATTGGCTCAAAAATCAGATCATTCATAACAAGTTTCAAAATTGTCTACATAACAGAGTTTAGAAAATTGTCGTTTTAGTTTCTAAATTCATTTAAAATTAAAGCATTATGTAGATTGATGTAGACTTCTTATAAACTCAGAAATTAAAATGATCACATAAATAGTCTGAGGACTATTTTAATGTCTTACATTTTTAATAAATGTACATTTCAGATGATATTACTATTTATTTATTTGTTTTCAAAACAAAATGTAAGTTTTTGAATGTGGATATATATATATGGCAGATCACCTTCAATACCAAAGTTTTCCATCCAAACATTGATGGCAGAGGCAGGATATGCCTTGACATTCTCGAAGATCAGTGGAGCCCTGCTATTAACATATCAAAGGTATCATATCACAACATCAAGCATCTCAATTTCCTCGCAAGTTTTGTTCGATCCTTTTTATACGTCACAATTTTTTGCAGATTTTACTGTCAATCAGCTCCCTTTTGACGGACCCGAACCCGGACAACCCGCTCGAGCCAGAGATTGCTCATGTGTATAAAACCGACAGAGCGAAATATGATGCAATTGCTCGATCCTGGACTCAGCAATTCGCCAAACCCTGAGAACCATATCATTAGTTATTTTACATAAAAAAAAACTTTTTCTTATTTAAAATTTCGTTCAGTGACTAATGTTTGGACTTGCTCTTCATAGATGTGTCTTTTGGGCTCACTTTGAGACCTATATACAACTATACTTATTGTTGTTTTTTGTAGTGTGATTGACTTTTGGATCGTGTTGTCATATTATGGAGGCAAACTTCTGGTGTTACGTGGGATTTGATACACACATATTTATATCTATGTACATATATATTTATGTATAAATATATACGTATGTATATTTATGTATGCGCTCACACACATTCATATAAATAGAGATAAATGCACGTAGATACCCAGGTGAGTTTTAAAGCTACCGAACTGATGTATTTACGTGTGCCACGATAAAACGACTGAGAATTTGATAAAAATTAAAAGAACGAGTTGAGGCTATATCATGAATTTTGACATTTGAGTGAAAATTTGATATATGAATTAAAGAGTGCCAAAATATTTACAATAATGGAGTGATTATATAACATCATATTCGTATATTTCATCATTAATAAGGACAAAAATCTTCCGACGATTTAGATAGATTTAGTATTTTGATTTGAATTGACTTTTATATTTTTTTTTTTGTCTATAACAAAAATAATAATTACATTTCTCTTCTATTATAATTATGTGCCATATAAAATATAATTTCTAAGAAATATTGATAAAACATATTAAAATTTAATAAATGAAAATAAAAAGGAAAATCATTGCTTGAATGAATATACAATTCATATGAAAACATAAGAATTGAATGGCATGCATGTAAATGTCCTAACAAAAATGAAGAGATATTTACCGAGTCATATCAGATAGTACTTATTATATTTACATATATAACATTAAGACTTTAATATTTTCACTCTAAATTTAAAATTTTAACATCACAACAAAAATATCATAATAGTTAAATTTTTAAAGTGATATATATATTTTTTATATATAGATTTTTAATATTAAGCGTCGTAAATATAAATTTTAAAAATTTACGTGTAAATTTCTAAATTCATATGGTTGTGAGTTATGTTTGTAAATTTCCTTAAAACAGAATTACCCGCCCGCGACTATGCGACAATAAGTTTATTCGGAAGTCGCCACATAGTAGCAAAGGGACTCGAAGCTGCTGTGCATGAGAACCGTGATATAGCAGTGAAGAAGCCCTAGTCGCGAAGCAGGACGAGAGGATAAACTAAAGTTTTTTCTGGTTAGATTTTATTTCATCATTCAAGAAGCCATACTGTCAATATTTTCTTTTTAGCGTTGGGCGAATTTTCGTCGCAGCGTTTTGATTAGGGTTGGATCCTCTTTTAGATTTCACTTTTTCATTTCTTTTGATTACCTGATTTTTTTAGATCCGATATAGATTTTCTTGTGATATACAACGATAGCGATGTTGTTGAAGGTTTCCGGTTCTGTTCTGATGGCTTCGAAGTGGATTCAGAAGGAGTTGAATGACCTGCATAAGGATCCGCCGACATCGTGCAACACTAGTTTGTTTTGCATCGCTTTATTCTTCTGTATTCTTCTTTATCTGTTTCGAGCTGAGCTGTCTCTATTTCTTTCTGCTTGACCGAGTGTATGAACTGATTTGATATTTGTTTCAATCTGAGTTAAAATTTTATTTTGAAGTTTTTTACATAACACTCCAACCATTCTCATTTACATACCTTTCACTCACATTTTTAACATTCAAACAGAGTGCTACTTAATTTTGAAAGTTGAACCACTAATGTATAAATTATTCTTTTCTTCTAGAATCTTCTCCAAAGATGATTGTAAATTAATTTCAAGATAAAATTTGACCACATGATTTATACACAATAAGTTATGGATGAATATCTAGTAAAATTAAGAAAAATAATATTATATATTTGTTTGAGGATAAGATATTGAAATTTGAATTGTCAAAAACTCTTTCAAACTATAAAATGGTCCCCTAATTCTTTACGAGTGAACCTGGTCATTTAGCACTCGTGTTTATAGAAGTGTCAGTTTAGTCCCCGGATTCATTTAATATGGGTTGAAAAAGTTCCTAGTGAGGATTATTTTGGCCCTCCATTCAAATAAGATGGCGTCTGAATCAACACTTCTATAGAGTATGAGACTAAAATGACCCCATTTGAATAATCAGAGGATTATTTTGACATTTTTGTAATAAGTATGTTTCACATATTCTAATTAATTAATTTTTTTTTTTGGACAGCTAATGCGAGTTTTTGATTGTGTATGCATACGCCAGGTCTCATTCCGCACCAAAGTTTTTCATCCAAACATTAATAGCAACGAAAACATACGCCTAGACATTCTCAAGGAGCGGTGGAGTCCTGCTCTCACCATATCAAAGGTATTAATCCTGCAACATCAAGCTCCCCAATTTCTTTGCCAGTTCAGTTTGATCCTTTTATCACGCCCAAAACTTTGCAGGTTTTAATATCGATCTGGTTCCTTTTGACTGACCCGAACCTGGGTGACCCACTCGTGCCAGATATCGCTCATATGTATTCGACCGATAGAGCGAAATATGAAACAATTGTTCGATCTCGGACCCAGAAATATGCCATGGGATGAGAATATGTGTTGCAATGGTGGCATATTTTTAGGCACCAAAACTTCGGTTTAACGTCAAAAGTTGTTCAATGACTACTAAACTTTCAATGAGCGTAATGTTAAGATGATGAAAATTAAAAAAAAAGAAATGGGAAAAAATAAAAAATGGTGGAAGTTGTGGAAAGATTTACTTCGTAATGTTAAGATGATGAAAATTAAAAAAAAAGAAATGGGAAAAAATAAAAAATGGTGGAAGTTGTGGAAAGATTTACTAGGGGTGAGATTGGAATATGATGAAATCCATTGAAAAAAATAGTAGAAGCTACAAATGAGTGGTGGAATGATAAGCACCTATATTTTTCATTTACTTCATATATTATTTTCAATAGTATATGCCAACATCACACTTTTACTCTTAATTATTGTAAGCTAATCTTGGTGTGAAGAAATTTCCTTATAACATAATAATGCCAGAGTTGGAAGAGAAATTAAACATAACGTTTGTTCGTGCAGTAGCAACTGGGGAGGACATTCGGCTGCCAAGCTTGGGTATGCTACCTCTTGAACCACGAGAGGATACAATAAACTTATCAACTGCAGAGGAAATTCAAGAGATTGATTCTAATATTGAGAATGCTCATGAATTTAAAAGTTTGAGTTTAAGTCAAATAAGAGAAAAATATAAAAAAGCAAAGTCGAGAGGTATGCTTCCACATCTATTAGTGAAGTTATATCTGCATCAAATGCTTCAAGAAACTCTATTACAATACTTGATGCGCTGGAGGAGTTAGCGAATATATTTGATATAAGAAATGTTATTGAGTTTTACGACTTTGTTCTAGAGCTCACGAAAGAAAAAAAATGAATGAAAGAAAGATTTCATTCACATTCAAAAGGATGAAAAACTAGGATGACTCAGAAGAAAATACTACAAGAGTTTATCTTAATTCAACATTACAATGATCTATTTGCTTATTACACACTATATAGTTTGATTTCAAATTCACTGACTACTTACATGAATTACATTTATGAAATTATACTACATATAATTTCTTTCATATTGAAGAAGTTTCATTGATTATGACATTTTCGTTAACGTTTGGATGTATGGAGATGATTTATATTTTTATACTTGTACAAGTGCTACTCTATCTGACAAATCTTATAGATTCTAATTTCTTGTAATCCATGTTTTGATGCAAATCCAGAGGAAATTATGGAGGAGGATTTGGAAACCCAGACAAATCAGGAAGGGCAATAAATCCTAATTAAAGTTTCAAATTCAAATTCAAAATTCAAATTTTGAATTTGAATTAAGAAGCTCAATTAAAGACTCCCGTTTTAGAAGTTAATTAGAGTTTTTCTTTTTCATGTTATGTTTTCCTTTATTTGCTTTCGTAAAAGTAATTTTATAGGTTATTATCTTCCCAGTTGGGATGGGAGGTTGTCATATGTTTCTATTATTTAAATGGAGTAAGAAAAAAAAAATGAGGATGGACTATTGCTACTAATTCATGAGTTCTTTTGAATTCCGTTGGTGAGTTTCCAACAGTGCAGAGGGATTCTGTTTTGCCCCTCTCTTGAGTCCAACGAGATATTGAACTTAAGGGAAGACATCATGTTTATATTCTAACTTTATTATTTATTTGTTTTATTGTAATGGACATATTTATACCTTTATCTTCATCAATTTAGTTGCATTTTAATTTTTTCTTATAGATGACTATAATGATTGAAGAAGTGCCGGACAATGAAGCTGATGACTACGATAGGAAAGTATATATATAACACAAACAATATATAACATGAATGCTCATTTATTACTGTGCACAACATATGAATAAGTAAACATATATAACACAAACAACTTCGCTGACAAACCCAAATTTTTTCTTTCGGGCTTTTGAATTGACTTCCTTAGAAGGCAAAGCCACCTCAAACAGGCCTAAAGTCTATGAGCCACAATTCAATGCAATGTCTTTGGTCGCATTGAGTATTTATTTTCCATAACCTTCTGATTCATTCTGCAGGAGAAAGTCACGGCCATAAAAAAATAATAATAATAATAAATTAATTTACATGTTAAAAATCAGTAAAATAACCAAAATAAAATGAATTAGTCCTCAATTCAATATTTTGATATATTAGCAAATTGAGTGATTTCTAAAAATAGATAATCGTTTAGTGTAGATTGGGTTCTAATCATCATCATTAGTTTTACCGAAAGATTTGAAAAAATTCGCTTAGAACAAAGAACTAAAAAATTAAATAATTAAAAGGGATAATTACATAAAGAAACATTGCTATTTACAATATTGAATACTTTAAAGTAAAAATTATAATTTTGACGGAGTAGCCAGTCCTCTACCTGCCGAAGCAACAACCAACTCCCTTCTTGCAACTAGTAGAAGCCCTAAATATGCACTGAGTTTATGACCAAGTAAATGATGGAGCCAACATCTAATATGGAGGTTAGTTATGAATTAGAGACTAAAAATTCTATTCAGTCAACTCCCAAACTGACTAAATTTATTACAAATCATAAACTCAAATATCATAACTTCCTTCAATGGTCTCGTTTTGAATTCCGTTGGTGAGTTTCCAACAGTGCAGATGGATTCTGTTTTGCCCCTTTCTTGAGTCCAACGAGATATTGAACTTAAGGGAAGACATCATGTTTATATTCTAACTTCATTATTTATTTGTTTGATTGTAATGGACATATTTATACCTTTATCTTCATCAATTTAGTTGCATTTTAATTTTTTCTTATAGATGACTATAATGATTGAAGAAGTGCCGGACAATGAAGCTGATGACTACGATAGGAAAGTATATATATAACACAAACAATATATAACATGAATGCTCATTTTTTACATATTCATCTTTTGAATTGACTTCCTTAAAAGGCAAAGCCACGTCAAACGGGCCTAAAGTCTATGAGCCACAATTCAATGCAATGTCTTTGGTCGCATTGAGTATTTATTTTCCATAACCTTCTGATTCATTCTGCAGGAGAAAGTCACGGCCATAAAAAAATAATAATAATAATAAATTAATTTACATGTTAAAAATCAGTAAAATAACCAAAATAAAATGAATTAGTCCTCAATTCAATATTTTGATATATTAGCAAATTGAGTGATTTCTAAAAATAGATAATCGTTTAGTGTAGATTGGGTTCTAATCATCATCATTAGTTTTATCGAAAGATTTGATAAAATTAGCTTAGAACAAAAAATAAAAAAATTAAAAGGGATAATTACATAAAGAAACATTGCTATTTACAATATTGAATATCATAAAGTAGAAATTATAATTTTGACGGAGTAGCCAGTCCTCTACCTGTCGAAGCAACAACCAACTCCCTTCTTGCAACTAGTAGAAGCCCTAAATATGCACTGAGTTTATGACCAAGTAAATGATAGAGTTAACATCTAATATGGAGGTTAGTTATGAATTAGAGACAAAAAATTCTATTCAGTCAACTCCCAAACTCTCTAAAATTATCACAATTTGTAAACTCAATTATGATAACTTCCTTCAATGGTCTCAATTTGTATTTATGTATATTTATGGTAAAGGAAAAGAGGAACATCTTATGGGAGTGGGCATAGTTTTTGAGATTACTTACCCCAACCACTGAATATGAAAAATTTAAGACCATATGGTTATCTCTTGGGTAGTCAACCCATTGACCACTGAAGCAAGAGAAAATTTTTTACCTTACAAAATTGACAAAAAAATTTCGAAGTCGACAAGCGATACATATTTCAATGCTATGAATGCTACATAATTATTTGAGATCAAAATCAAGCATCAAGACCTTTGTCAATGAGAGCTAAGTGTCATCCAATATTTCAATACCTTGACAAATATTGGCTATAATTGGATATGTTTGAGACACATATGTAGGAAATTTTTTATGATAATGTGATATTAAATCCATCATTGAGAAGAAGAGAACTATCAAATTTCTTGTATGACTAACTCAAGAATTTGATGAATTGAGAGGAGGATCATTAGAATAAACTTGCTTTCATCTACCCATGAAGTCTCTGCTAAAAATTAGAAGAGAGAGAGAGAGAAAAAAAAAGTTGATGTTGACTGGAAATGAGAGTTCAACATGTACTGCATGTGCACCCATATTTCTTCCCACGACTCAATGCTCAAGAGAAACCATCTCACATGTGACTATTGCAAGAAGGTTGCACATCTCAAAGTCATTTATTGAAAATTTTAAGGAAAACATGTGACTCAATGCTCAAGAGAAACCATCTCACATGTGACCTCAAAGTCATTTATTGAAAATTTTAAGGAAAGCATGCAGGAAAACATGTTGATTGAAAATCTAGACATGGAAGAAAAGATCAATTAAAAAAGACTATGCTACTACCACATCCAAAGGGTCAGATGAACCATTCATCGAAGAACAACTTGAAATACTTTAAAAAACTCATTGGAGGTAATTGAGAACAACACTGCAAGGTAATATATCATTCTTCCATCTTGCCAGTAATGGGAGATCTAAATCATGGATCATAGATTCACAATCACAAGTCCCTGATCATATGACATGAAATATCAATGCTCCAATCAACTATTAAAAGACTTCTACATTTAAATAGCCCAGCCTTGTAGATGGATCACACTAAAAAATTACTAGAAAAGATGTGGAGCTCTCTCAGGATATTACTCTTTATTTTTTATGTTCCATAGTTTGGCTATAATTTGATTTTAATTAGTAAACTTAATCATGATATAAAATGTATAACTAAATCCATTATAAATTCTTGTGAATTTCAGGTGAGGGTGTTGGGAAGGTCATTACAGTGTTGTAATGCTTTAAGATTTTTTATTTATTCAAAGAAAGTCTCTTTTTATGTACACATATGATCCCAACTCCATAGTAACCTCAAATATTTTAGTTTGTTTATTCTTTGTCTATCAAAAAATAAATCTTGTTATGATATTGTCGTGTAAGTCATTTTAATTTCAATTATATTGTTAAATTATATCATCATTTATTTATCAATACAGGATTTGATAACTCGTCAAATAAACTAGAAATAATTATCTCATGATTTAATACAAACCTTCACACTCTTTTTCCATCATCCACAATGATATTTAGGGATTTTCAAATTGGGGCTAGATGGTTTATCTCATTTATTTACGATCATACTAAAACTACTTAGGTATTCTAATGATGCAGAAATCTGAAATAACTAAAATCTCATAAAACTTCCATGACATGATTCAAACTCATTCCTAATACAAAATTCATATTCTTAAAATTGATAATGGAAAAGAATATTCCAAGTCTATCCTTGGGTTCTATCCTTTGAAATATGGAATCATCCATGTGAGTTTATGTATTAAAACTCTACAATAAAACGGGGTAGCTGGGAGAAAGAACATGCGTATACTTGAGCTATCCCACTCAATTTTGATGTCCCGTCGAGTTCTAAAATATTTTTGAGGGGAAGCAGTTCTTACTGCAATATACCTTATCAATCAAATGCCTAGTTGGTTATTTAACTTTAAAACACCACTTTATGTTTTGATGGTTAGACATCCTCACATAAATTTTTTCTTCGTATTTTTTTTTTCACATCCATTCTCAAAATCACATAAAATTCAACCCTAAATCTATCAAGTGTAATTTCTTTGAGTATAAATCTAACAAATAGAGGTACAAGTGCTACTCTCCTACTACCATAAAATATTGCAACGTCATGGATGTCACATTTTTTCAAAACAATCATAATACCTTACATTTGACATTCAAAAGGAGAGTATAAATGAACATTAATTTTTGAATGCACTTGAGGACACGTACAAAACCTCACAGCTTACTTCTCTTTCACATAACTCTCCTACTCGTCTTCCACTAACTCTCTTATTCTTGTCGAGGATGTCCAACTAACCCAACCTGAAGTCTATAACAGAGAACTTTATGTGTACATATGGAGGAAGAAAAACCTTGAACATACGTACACCAACTTGCAAAGACATAATTGTTCTAACAAAAACTCAAGTCCCCATCCTCATTTGGTGTTAATGACAAGAAAAATTGGACTAGATATCTAATTTTGGAGTATTTAAATTCCGAGAAGCTATCCACACTCTATAGAGCATTTGTATCTAATTTTGATAATATGCAAATTTAAAAATATATTTGTGAGGCCCTTGACAATTTTGAATGGAGAAATGTAGTTGAAGAGGAGATTTGAGTACTAAAATATAGTTGCACATGGATTTTTGCTAAACTCTCTCAGGATAAGAAGTCAGTTGGATGCAAATGAGTTTTTAATATCAAATACAAAGCGAATGGAGGTATTGAGAGATTTAAAGGTAGAATTGTTGTAAAATATTTCACTATAACCGGTAGAATTGTTTGGGAGACCTTCACACCATTTGCCAAACTGAACTCATTTGAGTTCTGCTTTCAGTAAAACTTAATAATGACTGGAGACTACATCAGCTTGACAAAAAAAAAATGTCTTTCTAAATTAAGATCTGTAATAAGAACCGTACACGAGGATACCATCAAGAATTGAAAATAATTCCAACAAACACCTAGCATGTAAATTCAAGAAGTCTATCTATGGGCTTAAGCAATCACCAAAGGAGTGATTTGAAAAAGGTTATAAAGTTATGAGTTTTAATGGATATTCTCAAGGTCAAGCCGATCGTACTATGTTCATCAAAGACATCCAGGGAGGTAAGATTGTAGCACTGATAATATATGCAGATAATATGATCGTTAGTGGTGATGATGAAAGAGAAATTCTCAAGCTTAAAGAGTGATTGCCACTGAATTTGAAATCATGAACTTTAGAACTATAAGATATTTTCTCGGTATGAGGGTAGTAAAGCTCAAGAAAGGCATTATTATATCACAAAGAAAATAAATCTTAGATATACTAACGGAGACATTGATCATTGGATGCAAACCTATTGATATTCTAATGGATCCCAACAAGAAGCTTAAAAAGGGTGAAGAAAGTACATCTGGGGATAAGGGAATATATCAAAGATTGCTAGGAAAACTCATATACCTATCACATACTAGGTCATATATTGCATATTCTGTTTGCATTGTGAGCCAACACATGAATTGCCCGAGTGAAGAACATTTGGAGATGATGTACATGATTCTAATGTTTCTCAAGAAGACTCTTGAGTATGAATTAATTTTTGAGAAAATAAAAAATAGAGGTAATAGCCTACACTGATGCTAATTGGGTTGGGGAACACACTATAAAAGGTTCTCCTCAAGTTACTTCTCCTATTTATGAGAAATTTGGGTAATAGAATGCGCGTTAATCTTAAATATAAATATAAACTTAGCAGAGTAAATGTGGCTAGGAGAATATTTACTTGACATAGGTTCCTCCCCTAATTTAGCTATTTTTCCTATGGTTTCTCATAAAAGCATTAGTTCAAATTCTTTTTGTGTGACAATTCCTTCACGTTTAAATTCGTGGTTAATATAGATTAGTCTCCTTCATCACTAGTGTTCCCTTCTTTGCCAAATATGATTCAGATTTCTTCATCTTAATGTTGATTACATCTGTACCTCACGGGGCCTTATGAACTTGACTACTGCATGAGCCTATACTCTTTAAATCGGATTGTTGCATAGATTTTATTTATTTATTTATTTTTTTTTTTGAATCAGAATATGAGAATTCTGTTTGATTCTAGTACCAATCATTTATTTACATCCGATAATTTTTTTCTTATTAAAATTATCTCCTTTTTATACTGCCAATGATAGTAGATTATATAATCTATAATTATGCAGCTATGTATACGTTGCATTAAATTTTTTATCAGGTAGCTCTTTGAATCAGAATATGAGAATTCTGTTTGATTCTAGCACCAATCATTTATTTAGATCCGATAATTTTTTTCTTTATTAAAATTATCTCCTTTTATACTGCCAATGATAGTAGATTATATAATTGATAATTATGCAGTTATGTATACATTGCATTAAATTTTTTATCAGGTAGCTCGAGTCTAAACCAATAATAATGCGTTTGATCAGTTTAATGTGATATGAGAATGAATTGTTTGAGTAAATAAAGTGCACATAGTAATTGTAATAAGAAAAGAGTAACTTTGTATTTCTCGAAGACCAAATGTTTCACTACCTTCTCTAGCATTTGAGATTGACCCTATATATTTTGTTTGTCATGATCTCCTATAATAAGGTCTGTGAGGTTGTAGAGGGGATGCATTATGGAACTTAATGTCTATAGAGTTTTTGAAATAAATCCGCCGAAAATCCTTTCAAATCTTTTTTGAAAAAAAATATGAAATCAAAATCAGATTTCATGAGTTATAATAAGATTTGATTAGGGGAAATTTGATGGAATTAATCTTCTCAAATCCTAAAAGTCGGAGCTTCGTGTACCTTACAAATTTCAGAAAAATTGTTATGTACGGTGTCCAGAGACACCAGTGACTATCCGACCATTCAAACTGCATAGTGATGTGGTCGGATCATCTCCATTGTTGGGACGCACGGTTCACCGGATGTAATAACTTTCCCAATTTCTAAGAGCATGAATCAGAAAAAAGTACCTTTATCCGAGTACAAATCTCTACCACTTCACCAATAGGCGCCCAATCTCCGAAGTTCCTTTCAATGAACTGATATGCAACACCTCCTCTCCCACTTCTAATTATAAACATCCCCCCCTTGATTCCACCTTCTCCTTTGAAATTTTGATCGAATCCAGTAGCTTTGGCAGCCTTGTAATTAGCTCTTGCATGGGAATTCAGTATAAAACCAGTTAAAAACCCCTCTTTGAGTAGCTTTCCCCCTCCAAGAGCTTTGAAAAACCCCATGGTTTGATCAATCACAATAATCCCACCCCAATAACGAGGCCAAAAGTCTCTCACCTGAAACATAGAAAATAAGAAGTGTCAAAGTGGTCTCCGAATTCATTGTAGATGTCCATTTTAATCCAAGAGCATATTAAAATGCCAGATCAGTCCTCAAACTCTTTTAATGAACGCTAAAATTGACATTTTTTTTATAGATTTTGGGATTAAAATGATCCCGTGTAAATAGTCAGGGGACTATTTCGACTCTTCGCTCCATAAAAATATTGTCACGAAGAAATCCATAGTTAAAAACCATAGATTAGTGTAGCAGAAATCACCTCGGACTCTATCTTTTCGTGTAGAACAGCAACAAGTTTAAACCCCAATGCATCAAATATTGCTTTCCTTGAGTACAACTGATGTGCTTCAGCTCTGCACATAATGCACCTAAAAACATAAACATCTAAGAATTCACTACCAGGAAGAACTTAACATACCATGTTTCAAATGATAAAAAACATAAACACAATAAAAATAAACAATAGAAAACATAAAACAAAAGTGATCCCAAACAGCCTCTTAGCTGCAAATAACTAAGGCTTAGTTCGTACCCGGGGCGCCGAATGCACAACAGAATCGTCGCCTTTTCGCTCCATAAATCTGAAGCTTTCATAGGTGGAGCTTTGGTTTCCAGCAGTCGTTGAACCCCAACTTTATACTCTGGAGTGAGCTTCTGCACTGCAATATTTCCTAATGTAGAATGTGAAGCAACATCTTCCACAATATGTGGTGGCTGCATACAACCGAATAGTCGCGGTTCGACGGGTTTAGAAGCCACAATGCCCTTAAATACATGACCTTCATTGAGCTTCAAATCCAAAACAGCTTTAGCTGTGGATGGATCATAGTTAGGATTCAACTTCAGATGAGACTGGAGCCTGTGTAAGCTCCCTTTATTTGAATCATTTTCGCTCCCATCGCAGGTCTGATCATTCGTGTTTTTTTCGCTTGCAGGACGAAAATATGAACTCACCATCGGTATTCCGCAACTGTTTTCTCTGTTGATGAAGCGAGAAACGTGGCCTCTCTTCATGCCGAATTGCGAGGAGAGCGAAATGGTTGTGGTGCTTAGAAGCTCGGATAGTGTCATCTTAGAGGCTTCCATTTTATCAGCATATTGCATCAAGGATCTGTCATGTAAGTATGTTCTAAGCTCCAATGCATCCTATGAAATTCATATTTTGAAGTATGGTTAGTTCTAAAGTGCTTTAAATTTAAGCATGAAAATGATATATTTCAATTTTAAAAAGTGATAATAGTGCTATTTTTGATATGATATTGAAGATTTGAATGTTATGTGCGTAAATATAGAAGTTTTTGTACGTAATATGTAAATGAATTAGAATTGTGTGCTATGTATGTAAGTGCCCCAATTTTAAATGAGGGTCATTTACATACATAATACCGATTTCTAACGTATTTACATATGTAACACGAACTTTGTCTTTTATATTTACACCATCCGAATCTTTCCTATCACATAACATCATTACAACTTTTAAAAATTTTAATACAGCTGTTCATGCATAGGTAAGTGGTATGTATGTAAAACTTAAAGTTTAGGTGTTAGATTTATAAAGAGATAGGAATTTAGGGGTATGTTTGTAATTCTTCCTTTATATAATTATAATAAATACATGGGTGTCAAAGCAACAAAAATGCAAATTTGGAATCCAAAAAAAGAAAAAAGTCTTTCCCCCCTCCATAGCTCATAATTGTTTTAGCGCCATATTTACATACATACCACAGAAATTTTATGTATTTACATATCGAACACCTAAACATTCATATTTACATACATACAATTCGAACCTTTAACTTCGCATCAAAAATGCCCCGTCACTATCTTTTTAAAAGTCTTAAAAGTGAAGTACACCTTTTCATGCACTGGCTTAAAATACCAAGGTTTTTGTTAAGTAAACCTTTGGGTGTTAGATATGTAAATACACAAGAATTGTGTGCTTTGTACGTAAATGCCCCCTTTTTTTTTCCGGGAGTTGGAGATAACCCAACTTGAAAAAGATGATGAGATGATGTTGGAATGTCATGGAGGCTCCTAAAAGCATTTTTGGATTGATCTTCTTTTGTAGGTGGGGAGATGACATGTCCTAAAGCTAATGACCAATCTCATTGACATGGAAAGATCATGAAGATCCATAAAGTTGGTTTGGATCATTCTTCCCTCGCTAGTCGGAGATGACTCCAACTTTAAGAAGACAACATCATAATACACAAGATAGTATTCACAATATCAAAGTGTGTCAGGTAATTGTCTGATGAAGCTATTTGTTAGGTTGTCATAAATTTGTAAATATATATTTAATTAGTTTGAAGTTTTGATCATAAGATCGTTATCTATCGATATCTTATCATTATGAGTCGAGCCCTGTTATTGGATGAAATATAAAAAAGGGATAAATGCATATAGATCATTCTAAATATTGATATTTACAAATTAATCACCAAGTTTGTTTTTTTAGACTATGGAATATGAAATTTGATAAAAATGAAAAAAAAAGGCTGGGGTTTTGTTTTGCGATGAATTTTGATATTTGAGTGAGAATTTGAAAAATGGATGTAAGAGGGCGGTTGGGTTGGTTTGTAAATAGCAAGTTTTTGGGTGGTCTTTATGTAACTGCCTCTATGTTAAAAAAAAAAAAAATGTATATATATATATATATATATATGTGTGTGTGTGTGTGTGTGTCGTCGTCTGGGGTCTGTTAGTAGAGCAGTCTCTTTAAAGAACATAAATCCCTTCAGGTCATGAGTTTGAATTCCCCTCTGACCAATTTGCCGATAGTGAGGGCGGTCCTCAAATAGTTTAGCACATGAGGGTGGCTAGGGGATCGTATAATAACCTTCTGTCATTCTTTTAAATATATATATATAAACTTTAGGCTCTATTGAGTGTGAGTTATAGGCTTCTTTATTTGCCAAATGGTTAGACTGAATGAAATATGTGACAAAAGTCGGATAAAACATAGAAGATAGGTGATATTTATATAATACATATTTGAACTTAAGAGAAATATAAGATATTTATTCATAATATAGAAGAAAAGTTTTCATTTAATTTATATATTTGTATTTAAATTTCTATTTGTTTTATAGCCATAGTACAGGATTCATTTAAAATAGTCCATTTCTTATTCATATTTATATATCTGAGGAGACTCTACGTTATAGTTATATATGTACTGTGACGTTGAAGCTCTAAAAATTAATTTAGGGAAATTTACATACTTGCCACACAATTTTGCGCATGAAAAAGGTGTACTTCACTCTTAAAAAGGTTTGTAATATTGGTATTTTTTATATGATCTTAATGATTTGTGTTGAGAAAATTAGGGCGAAGAAAAACAATAACGACACAAATTTAGAAGAACAAATAGATTTAACGAGGTTCGACAAAGATGCATACGTCATCGGGAGCAGAGCGGAGAGTTTCTTTCACTATTCAGAAAAGAGATTACATGATAGAGGACACCTCCTGGGGTTACTAACAGGTCTATTTATAATACCAAGAGTAAGGCCTAGATACAATATGTAATTATAGCATTACCCATGTACCATACCGCGGCGCTTTGCCCCCGCACCCCAACCCACGTAACTTCCCAATTTGGACACATTCTTCCGCTCCGCTTCGATCCAGCGTCTGTCCCGATATGATATATGAGTCATAGCATAACAACTTCAGTGGTATGTATATGTGAATATCAAAGTATAGGTGTTAAATATGTAAATATATGAGGTATTTATGTAAATGCCCCGAAAATTTTGTTAGGAGCTACTAATATAAAGATGGCTAAATAAAATATGTATTTATTTTTTTAGCATAAATATGTAACATTTGCATAAAATTATAAGCCCGCCATTTTTCACCACAACATAGCACCTTAAGCTCATTTTATTTAGTGAAGATAAAATTATATTTCCAAAGATTTTAGATCAAATATATTTTTTTTATTGGGATAATTACATACATAGCCCTTGAAATATTATTATTTACAAAATTTAGCATTGCGGTGATATTTTTAAATTACCGTTGGGGTTGAATTCTGATATTTGAGCGAGAACTTGAAAAATATAAGAAAGAGGAAAAAATATTACATTAGAACTCCGCATGTAGTGTTACATGCAGAGTCCGATGAAATCATGATCACAAAAAAAAAAAAATCGGTCTGGTAACACAGGGGAATATTCCCTCTTGTTATTCATGTGTTATTGTGTTCTGAAATTTTCTTGGTGTCATAATAACATTATAACACATCAATAACACTTGAATAACACACAATAACATATGAATAATACGGGAGAAATATTATCTGATGTTATCGGACTGATTTTATTTTATTTTTTTGTCACCGCCATTGACTTTGCACTTAACTCTACGTGCAGACTCCTGATGTAATATTTTTTTCAAGAAAGAGGGGGTGAGATTTTTAAATAGCAATGTTTTTATGTATGTAATTATTTCATCATTTTTCTTACACTCCTACCAAAAGAAAATTGCATCTCATACTCCTTCCATTACCTTTTTATTTTTTTGCTATAATTTTGGTCACACTAACCACTTGAATTGGGGTGACATATTAGGTTGTGGGCCCTACAAGCATTAAAATAAGCACATTTGGTTAATAAGGTCCACCAATTAGGTTAGCAAATCACAACTCATTCCAACCAAGTTGTGATGAACAATTCCAACACATAAATAGTTTCGTTTTGGCTCATAATGACTCGATTTTCTTTTTTAACATATATCTTAAAGGCATTTACACACAAACCCTACAAGTATTATGTTTTTACATATCTAACACCTAAACTTTCGTATTTACAAGAATAGCTCCCATTTCACTATTACTTATATTTTAAATTTGATATGCATATTTTCATGCATAGTGTTATGACACTATTGTTATAGATGTAAATATGAAAGTTTAAGTGTTAGATATGTAAATGTATAAGAATTTATGAAGATTTACGTACATAATATATATTTATTATATATTTACATGTTAAACACCAAAATTTTCATATTTAATTTTATAACACTTGGTATCAAACTATACAAAATAAAAAAAAAATGATGGATTTTATATTTAAAAAATTAGTAAGAGTGACATTTTTTATGTGATGTTTAAGGTTTGAGTGGTATACATGTAATATAAAAGTTATGGGTTAGATATGTAAATAGATAAGTAGTGTGGTTTAAATATGCAAAATGAATTATCCGATTTTAATGAAATGGTCAACCTATTATTGAGGAATTGTACGAGTTAGAAAAATTAAGACATGGGGGATTGTTTGTTGAGCTGTTCATCGACTCAAGACTATTTTTCCAGTTATACAATATTGCATTTTGATAATTGCATTTTGATAAATAATTTAATATTTATTTTATGGGGCATTTACATAAATACCACGAAATTCCTATCTATTTACATAACTAACATCTAAACTTCAAATTTTAATGTCACGTTAAAAATAGCACGATTTGAATTTTGAAGAATTGAAATATTTATTTATATCTTACATTTATAAATCATGACATTAATATTTAATATGATAATAAGTAGTAATTCTGATATTAAATAAAAAAAAATAGTATATTTAAATAATATGGATATAATAGAGAATAATAGACCATAACTGCTTGGAGCAATTATTAGGCGCTGAGTCTGCATTATCAATACAACAAATACAACTAAAATATGATAATATTCGTACCTTCCGCATCTTCCGTACCTAGGGCTGTTAAGGACTTGAGCTTGAGTGAGCTCTGGCTTGGCTCGTTCGAAATTGCTCTAATTTGAGATCGGTTCATGTTCAAAATTGGCTCTGGAATAACGTGTTTGTTCCCGACTCAATTTAAATATTTTTGTTCGTGTTCGTTTCGTTAAAATTAATTGAAAAAAATAAATATAGTGTTGGATTCGAACATGCATCAAATCTATGTTAAAGAATGAACATAATCACATTAACACACGAGTTATTATGATTTTAAAAAAAAATATATATATATATATATATATATATGATTTTTTTTTAACTAAAATGAACCGACTCGAGCGAATAAACAGTTGTTCGTGTTTGACTTATTTATAATTCGAGCTTAAAAAATTATTCATGTTCCTAACCACTTGAATTGGGGTGACATATTAGGTTGTGGGCCCTACAAGCATTAAAATAAGCACATTTGGTTAATAAGGTCCACCAATTAGGTTAGCAAATCACAACTCATTCCAACCAAGTTGTGATGAACAATTCCAACACATAAATAGTTTCGTTTTGGCTCATAATGACTCAATTTTCTTTTCTATCATATATCTTAGGGGCATTTACACACAAACCCTACAAGTATTATGTATTTACATATCTAACACCTAAACTTTCATATTTACATGAATAGCTCCCATTTCACTATTACTTATATTTTAAATTTGATATGCATATTTTCATGCATAGTGTTATGACACTATTGTTATAGATGTAAATATGAAAGTTTAAGTGTTAGATATGTAAATGTATAAGAATTTATGAAGATTTACGTACATAATATATATTTATTATATATTTACATGTTAAACACCAAAATTTTCATATTTAATTTTATAACACTTGGTATCAAACTATACAAAATAAAAAAAAAATGATGGATTTTATATTTAAAAAATTAGTAAGAGTGACATTTTTTATGTGATGTTTAAGGTTTGAGTGGTATACATGTAATATAAAAGTTATGGGTTAGATATGTAAATAGATAAGTAGTGTGGTTTAAATATGCAAAATGAATTATCCGATTTTAATGAAATGGTCAACCTATTATTGAGGAATTGTACGAGTTAGAAAAATTAAGACATGGGGGATTGTTTGTTGAGCTGTTCATCGACTCAAGACTATTTTTCCAGTTATACAATATTGCATTTTGATAATTGCATTTTGATAAATAATTTAATATTTATTTTATGGGGCATTTACATAAATACCACGAAATTCCTATCTATTTACATAACTAACATCTAAACTTCAAATTTTAATGTCACGTTAAAAATAGCACGATTTGAATTTTGAAGAATTGAAATATTTATTTATATCTTACATTTATAAATCATGACATTAATATTTAATATGATAATAAGTGGTAATTCTGATATTAAATAAAAAAAAATATTATATTTAAATAATATGGATATAATAGAGAAGAATAGACCCTAATATCATGGAGCAATTATTAGGCGTTGAGTCTGCATCATCAATACAACAAATACAACTAAAATATGATAATATTCGTATCTTTTGCATCTTTCGTACCTAGGCTGTTAAGGACTTGAGCTTGAGTGAACTCTGGTTTGGCTCGTTCGAAATTGCTCTAGTTTGAAATCGGTTCATGTTCAAAATTTGCTCTAGAATAACGTGTTCGTTCTCAGCTCAATTTAAATATGTTTGTTTGTGTTCGTCTCGTTAAATTAATTGAAAAAAATAAATGTAGAGTGTTGGATTCGAACATGCCCCAAATCTATGTTAAAGAATGAACATAATCACATTAACACACGAGTTATTATGATTTAAAAAAAATATATATATATATATATATGATTTTTTTTAACTAAAATGAACCGACTCGAGCGAATAAACAGTTGTTCGTGTTTGACTTATTTATAATTCGAGCTTAAAAAATTATTCATGTTCCGCTCGTGAACTAGACGAACAATTCACGAACAACGGGCATTTTTTACTGTTATATCGGAGCAATTATTGTCTACGGACATACACAAATTTGCGTGCGGTGTACGAACACCATACGTAAATTTGTGTGCGGTGTCTGATCAGAATTATTGAAATACAACTTTTTATTTTTTAATTATTAGAATGAAGCACGCTCTAATGTCTTCAGAGTACGTACTTTTTGTATCTTCCACAACTATTTTATCCGCACCTAATAATATTTACACTAAGCGAGTTCCACGAGACCGCGACATATGAGAAGGCGCATCACCTTTCTTTCTTCTCTCCAAGCTCAAAACCTCTACTTCAATCACCAGTTCCGATTCCTCTCCATCCCCATCGAACCATCATCACTTATTGAACACGTTCCCAAAACCCTAAAATCTCAGAAACGAATCCATGTCGAAACCAGCTCCGAATCAGTTCGCCGCGACATCTACCGCTGCAATCTCAGAATCTCCTCTCTCGGCCGGCGAGGAGATATCGCCGGAGCCCGTGCCCTATTCGATCAGATGCACCACCGAGACGTCGTCACCTACGCCGCCATGATCAACTTTTACCTGAAGAACGACGACCTTCCGCAAGCTGAATCCCTCTTTAAGCGAATCCCGGGGAGGAACGTGGTGGCCGAGTCCTCCATGATCGATGGCCTTGCGAAAGCAGGCAGGATCGATGAAGCCAGGAGATTATTCGACAAAATGGAGGTCCGAAATGTGTTCACTTGGACGATTCTGCTCTCTGGCTATTGCCTCGCCGGCCAAGTCGAGAATGCACGGAAGGTTTTTGATAAAATGCCGGAGAAGAACGTGATCTCGTGGACAACGATGGTTCTAGGTTACGCTCGAAATGGGTTCTTATCGGACGCCCGAATCATGTTCGATCAAATGCCTGCGCGAAACACAGTAGCCTGGACTGCTATGATCAAGGCTTATGTAGAGGAAGACCGAATAGAAGAAGCGGGTAAGCTGTTCGAGGAAATGCCCCAACCAAACTTGTACTCTTGGAACATAATGATCAAAGGATATCTAAATTGCAGGCGAGTTGACAGAGCTATTAGTTTCTTCAATTCCATGCCTGAGCGAAATCCAATCACTTGGACCACCATGGTATCAGGACTAGCTGATAATGGGATGATTGAAGACGCCCAAAAGCTGTTCGATCAAATGCCAACAAGAGACATCGCATCGTGGAATGCGATCATAACTGCGTACAGCTCCAATTCGCAGATGGATATGGCTCAAAATCTCTTTGAATCCATGCCCGAACGGAACATCATGAGTTGGAACGCCATGATCGATGGATATGCTAAGAATGGATCTCACCATGAAGCTCTGTTTATTCTCATCCTCATGCTCAGATCCTCAGTAGAGCCAACCGAGTTTTCACTCACCAGTCTTTTGGCTAAATGTGATAGTTTGGCAATAGGGATGAACATGCATGATTTGGCTATAAAGTTATCCTTCGTGTTCGACACGTGTTTATCGAACGCTCTGGTGATCATGTACTCAAGAAATGGGGAGTTGAGCGATTCATGGCTTGCGTTCACTGAGTTAAAAGCAAAGGATTTCGTCTCATGGAGTTCGATGATTCTTGCCTTCGCGAACCACGGTTGCGGTCTTCATGCATTGGAAGCTTTTGCGAAGATGCTGAGGTGTGGAACTCAGCCTGACTCAGTCACCTTCATTGGTCTATTATCTGCTTGTAGTCATGCCGGGTTGGTGGAGAAAGGTAGGAGGATTTTCGACTCCATGATGAGGGGGTATGGAGTGGAGCCGAAAGCGGAACACTACTGTTGCTTGATCGACATTCTCAGAAGAGCCGACAGAGTCGACGAAGCGAGTTTGGTGTTGAGTCGGGTGCCTGAGTGCGAGCGAGATTCTGCTGTTTTGGGGACGATTGTGGGCGCAGCCTGCAAAGCGCATGGAGGGATTGTGGAGGATTTGATTGAGCTGGAGCCATTAGGATCCGGAGCTTTTGTGAGCTTGGCTAATGGTTATGCATCAATGGGAAGATGGAGTGATGCGGCGAGGGTGAGGAAGATGATGAGGGAGAGGAAGGTGGAGAAAGTTGCTGGTTTTAGTCAGATTGATTTAGGGTTTAGGGGGAGTCATGTGTTCTTTTCTGCTGATAGGGCTCATTCCCAGCAAGAAGAAATATATGAAATGCTTCAAGAGAGTCTCCTACCACAAATGAAAGATATGTTGTGTTGCAGGCAAGTACTTTTTTCATCATGATGAAATGATGTATGTAAATATGAAAGATTTACATATATACCACTCAATTGTGTTTACAAATCTAACATCAATTTATTTTAATTTTTACATGCATGCTATCTTACCTATGCATGAAAATGTGCATAATGAGAGAAACAGGTTATGTTTAGGCTAAAATGTGAGAGACAGATTTTGCCCACCTAAAATATAAAGCTAGATCGTCCAAAAAAGAGTAAAAACTTTTTAAAAATTTAAGAAGAAAATTTACATGCATACCACCCAATTCTTATGTATCTGCATGTCTAACACCATAACTGTGCTTTTATATAGCTTCTCACAAATCAACTGCATTCACACAAGCCACTAGATTCATTAAATTAAGCTGAAGATCACCACAAATAATAATAATAATAATAAATAAAAGTCTTCATTAAAAACTACTAAATCAGTTACATAATTAAACTCTAAATCCATGCAAATGCTTAGCCCATCTCCTGGCCATGAATGGATCAAGATAGTCCCATCTCTCTGCACAGCTCCTCCTTGGCCCAAACCCACTGCTCATCTCTTCCTCCTCGTCCTCCTCCCCCTCTACATTCCCCCCATCTCCTTTCTCCCCTAACTCCACCACCATCTCTCCCCTCACCACAACCTCCTTACTACCACATTCTTTATACTCATATCTCACATGAACAAACTCCATCTCTCCACTCAAATCAACCATAATCCTCCTCTCTTCGCCGCACCTCAAATCGCCAATCCCCACCACCCTCCCTTCCTTACCAATCGTCAACCGCACATCCATTACCTCTTCCCCGATCACCCTCGCCAGAAACTCCTCGAACTCGTGCATGATGAACCCACTCGAATCTCCCAAATGAAATCCAATGTTGAACCAATGTGCTCGTTGCTCAATCGCTCCCTCAGTCGGACTGTCTGAAAGATGCATGATGGAAGAATTAGGGTTCTGATGCGTGCGGTCCTCTAATATCCTCGCCGCCTTCTGCAGACCTTCTGTCGGATCGGCTTCACCGATGTAGGAGAGACGGTCGATCACCTGGAGAGCGGCGCGCTTGCCATGCGAAGACATCCGGTGAAGTGCAAAAGCGCGGGTGGCGGCGATGGGCGAGCAGGTGACGAGTGCGAGTCGGTCGGTGGGGCGGAGGGAGAAAACAACGAGCGCGATGGCTTGCTTGAGACGTCGGAGGTGCGCGTCTTTGGGGGTGACAACAAGGACTAGGTCAAGGGGTAGTTGAGGGGCGAGGCGAAGAAGAAGATGATGAGGAGGGTGAGTAGAGTGTCTAACAAAGGATAGGAGAAGACGAGTGTTACGAGTGGGGGAAGCAGAATTGGGTTCGGTGGGGTCGTCGTCGTCGTAACGAGTGGAACGTAGGGAGAAGCGGCGGTTGACACGGGAGGTGGCGATGGAGTCGTCGAGTATGCGAAGGATGGGATCGGCTGAGGCAGAATCGAGAGGACGAGAGGGGCGAGAAGCAATGAGAAGGTGGCGAGGGAGGTTCAACCAGTGGGTGCGGCATATCGGGCAAGTCGTATTTCCATGGCGGATGTTGGAGGCGATGCAGGGGAGATGGAATGTGTGAGAACATTGAGCAGTGAAGATCTTTGACTGCCTGCAGCTGCTACCACCTTCATTCAAGAGAAGAGGTTCCAAACATATGGTGCATAGACTTTGCTGAAATTGAGAAGAGAGAGAGTTACAACATTATTGTGAAGAATTTATCTATCACTTACAAATTTATCTATCACTTACAAACACCACCAAAAAAAAAAAAATTGTGGAATTTGGAAACATGACTTCTAATGTTTGATTTTCTCTTTCAATTTAAAAAAGGGGCCATTTACATGCATGGCACAAAATTTCTATGTATTTAAATATTTAACATCCAAAATTTATTTTTTATATATATAACACTCTAATATTTAAAATTACATAAAAAATATCACTATTATTAACTTTTAAAAAGTGAAACAAATATACTTTTTCATGCATAGAGTGGGTGGTATAAATATTAAAAGCAAAGTTTAGATCTTAGATATGTAAATAAACATGAATTTTGTGGTATGTAAATGTGAATCCTTAAGAAAAAAAATGACTTATTTTTTTATATTTGTCTCCTGCTGCACTTTTCTTTCTGCTGCTTAATGTTTTTGAGGGAACAAACTCAGTGGATGCAACATGTTTCACGGAAAGATGTTGGGCCATCATTGTCGAAGACTTTGAAAAAAATATAAGATGAAGGTTTTTTGAAAGGAAAAAAAAAAAATCTGTATTTTTATTATTAAAACTGAACTAAAAATGAAATTTTAAAAATAATTAATCAATCTGTGCATGAGTAGATAAAGAATGATTCATATATTATAAGGCAAATTAAATATCCAATCAAATTAATATTGAGCTAAAAATAGAAATTTAACAACTAATGAATCATGAGTAAATGTCTGTTTGGGGTAGCTGTAGTTTTTTGAATAAACTGTTGTGAAGCTGCTGCAGAACAAACTATTGTTCAAAAAACTACGGTGGCTTTCGCTATATATATATTGTATACATACCACACAATTCATATGTATTTACATATCTAACAACTTTACATATATACCATCTCACATATGAAATAAAAGATGTATTACACTTTCTAAAAGTTAAAATAGTGCTATCTTTGATGTGATATGAAATATTTGGGTGGTATAAATGTAAGAAGTAAAATTTAGGAGTTAGATATGTAAATATAAAAGATTTGGGCTGTATGTATATAAATGACCCTTAAGGGAACATATCCAACTTTAGCTTCTCCTTCAATAAAAGCTGATACTTCAATTTTACTTGGCATTTTTGGTTCTTCATCATGTGGCCACTAAAGGGAAAAGTTATAAAGGCTGACAACATTGGCAATGAACTGGCTATGGTATTATTACTATACCAAGTAATTCAATGGCTTCGATGTATGGAAAAGATTTTGGTTGTCAGGTTATGCAATTTGTGTTATTATTATTGATATGGTACATGATAATTCAATCGATCGAAAATTATAGTTTGAAAAACACAAGTTGCCATCATCGTCCAATTCCACTTGTTGATTGACATCGATGCTCGTCGTCATTGCCACCATACTGCGTTATGTGTCAACAAAAATCATTGACTTCAACAACACCACCTAAGGCGGCCTTCGCTGACATCGACGCTCATCGTCGCTAAAAACCACTTTTACTCATTTATCGACATCTTATGCCCTGTTTCCATTCGTTTAGCGTTCTCCCTTTCTGTCGGGAGAACGATTGATCTACCCCACCCACCATCGTCTGACTTTTAACATCCTTAATTAATGGTCAATTGACTCATGTCAGTGATTTACTTTGGATGCTCATCTTCCATGTTGCTCGATCCTCCCTCTATCATGAGAATGATTAAGTTGATCCCATCAACATCCAGGTCAGCTAAGGCATGGCGTCAAACATTTGTCAATCACAGCCATCTAGCACTGATTTTTATTTTAGCAATCTCTCCTCCTCTCAGGAGAACAAACAAGCTAGCTGCTCGTCATTGCTTGAGTTTCAATGTTTCGTGTCTACTATATTCTAACACCAACCAACAACAACACTAAAATTTTGACAGTTGTCGACATTCAACATCTATCTTCCCACTCTCCCAATATCCCTCTTATTAGGAGAAAGAGCAAGCCAAGTGCCATGTCATTTCATCCATTCTAACATTTCTTGTAATCAATCGTCCATTGCATTCCAAGAACTAATGTATGATTCCCGTTAATCATAAAAGCTCAACGTCCCTCTTGTCACTACTTGGCCTCCCACTAGATCGACCGCCTACAATCACCCAACATTTAAATTCCTCATCAATCACCATTAGACGCATACCAATGACTTATGTCTGTCTTTCTAGCCGTCCATTATCAGTCAAATTACCATATTCCTTATCAATCATAGTTCTACATTTATCGAAGATCTACATCTAACGCGCGTCTTATCGATTGTCTTTGCCACCCTTTTATTCAGAGAACAATTCAGGCGATCGCCATCATCAACTTATAATAACTCTGACATCATAAAACTTCTACTACTACACAATATATCATCCATGATTCATGTATATTACACTGTATTAGCACATTCTTTAGTTAAAGTGAAGAGTGGCATTTGTAATATTAGACTCACAATAGTGCAATCATTCTAATCGGGCTAAGTCTTGTGGTAGTTCTACTTACCATTCTTCACACATAAATATTGTATGCGCGCTACTCTCAACTTATCCCTTTACATGTGTGGCCTTCGTGCGATTCTAAGACGAAAAAATCTTACTCCATAATCATAAATATTACACGCATGCAACAACTAGAGACGAAGGCACATATTCTTCAAGAAAATTGAAGAATAAACATACCATTTCATGCAAAACACCCGTCTTGACTACTTACAAAATCAATACTTTAGCACATGCATGTGCTCAATAGTTATATATATATATATATATATATATATAACTATTGAGATTCTCACATAAATAACAAAATTTGAAATTGTATAAAATTAGTACTCTCCCATCTCCATTATTGAGATTCTCACATAAATAATGAAGTTCACAATAAAATAAAATCCTAACAAGTGTTTTTCTCTCACTAAAGTCCTAAAGGTTGGATATTGACACATGAATACATGAGCTTGGTAGTTAAGAACAAACAAATAAAAAAATATTCAGGGTTAATATTGAAAATAAGATAAGTTTTGGATGTCATGCGCACAACTATATTTATAATAAAATTAAAATGACAACATCAATGAAAAACAAAAAAAAAAAACTAGCATCTTAATTGTTAGTATCAGTACCTTCGCTGGGAAGCCATTATGTTCTTCCCCATCAGTTCTTTCCGACATTACCGATGATTTTGGATCCGTCGAGTTCAAGATCTGCATTCCAAGTTACAGAACCAAACATAAAAAAAAGGAACAAGAATTTCTGCATTTTGAAATATAAACCCTAATAAGCAGCGAAATCAAACATCTAGGGATTGAAAACTGTAAAAACCAATTTCTAGGAAGATAAACCCCGATAAAACATTTCGTTGGGAGAAAAACGGATCAATCGGAACGCAGAGCAGAGAAAATGTAGAGATAGGGAAAATGCAGAGAAAGAGAGTCTACGGTGGTGGAATTTTGGTGAGGAGGGGCATCGCGGACGAGAAAAGCGCAGGGAAATCCGATCTTCTGCGCCGCTCGTCTCCACCTCGACGCACCTCCGCCCATCGCAGCCCTGAATCTTCGTTTTTGCTCCTATTCTGGCTATTTTTCTTCTTCTTCTTCTATGGAGCTGGACTCTGCTCTGTTTCCTTCCGCCATTGTTGACACTCGCCTCTCTCTCTCTCTCTCTCGACTCTTCTTTGCTTTATCCTCCGGCTTCCAGCTCTCTAGCATGTTTTTATGGATACGGCTGCAAATTTTTATTTTTATTGGGAGCAACGCGTAAAATAATATGAATTTTATGCTTGCTATAATAATAGGAATTAATTAATTAATATTTATTTTTTTTATATTGAGTTTAACCTCCATAGGATCTCCCAAAAAAATTGATAATTTGTGACTTTCAAGAAAGATATTTTGGAAAAATGGAATTTTTAACACAGGAATTATATACGTGAATGATTACTTGTCGGGGCTCATTGTGATAGGAGTTTGATTCACACGTAAATCACTAATTTTAGTGCTCTTTGAAGCTCACCTTCGGCCCCTAAAAAAAGGAGGGGGAGATGGTAGATAATATGAATGAAAAATTAATGATATGATTAAAAGAATATGTTTTTTTTCTCTTTCGTTAGTAGTGAATAAAGTAGTGAATAAATAGGTAGATTTGAAGACATTAGACTATTATTTTTTCTACCGGCTAGTATGTAAGGAATTTGTGGGGTACGCTGTGAAGGAATATGATGTTGGTTCCTCTTAGTCATATTTAGTGCTCTACTTTCATGTTATAACAATAATAGAAGGTATTGTGAATGCTTAATTGGTCACTAGTTGTTATAATGATGTTGAGGATCAAGCCATCATGTGACGGCCACAAAGAAATTATTTATAAGTCAAAGTTTTTTTTTTCTTTTTGCATGTTAAGCCCAAGAGATAAATTGTGTGATTCGAATCCCAACTTCATGATGAAAAACTAAACTTTTGACTGTTATGTCGTGGGCAAGTCCGTAGATAGAGCTGTTCGTTGGCAATTAGAGTGATTATAAGTAGATGTGTGATAATTTTATCAGTCGTTCTAAATCTATAAGGATGATTGTTTATGTGTGATCTTTTGAGAGGTTTAGGGGTAGTAATATAATTATGATATACAGGTTGTGAATGTTTGGCTATATCATAGTCTAATTACGATATGTTAAGACTTGAGAATTTCTGAATTTCCATAAGGCACAACATGAGATCATCTAAGAAGGGCAATAGATTAAATAATTCATTGAGAGAATAAATTATTTATTCGAGTTATTTTAATATGGGTTGATGCTTCGCTTTTGTGATGTACAACTTCAGTTCTTCATGATAGTTGAGATGATTCTTACATATTTGATTTAAAATACTTTATTTATATTAAGATGGTCAATGATTATGTTTGATATCAACTCTTTCATGTTTTTGATGCAACAAATTGTGAGGTGGTTGAAGAGCTTAGTTTTTTGGTTGCCTAAGGTTTTGAAGGGCTTTGTTTTTTGGTTGCCCAACATTAGTAAATTTAGCCTTCTTATAAGTTGTCATCTTCAAATAAATGTGAGAATCATAAGTATTTGTTTATATCAAAAGATGGAAGAGTTATCTACAAGCTATATGTTTTTTTAGTAATTAATATAATTTTTAGCATAGTTGAGGAACAAAAGTGAATTATGTTGTTGTAAAACCTAATCAAGCTTGCTATTGACCTATAGAAATTTCCACAAGCTTGTTATGGATATTTTATTGAGATGGGATTCATGTCGATGCCATTAAAGAGTGACAAATGATTAGATTGATCTCATAATGTGATTTTCTATAAGCCTAAGGATTAAAAGCTTGGTAGGCTAAACAATGAAGCACACAAATTCACCTAATCAAATGCTAGTTAATTATATGTCCACTCAATTAAATGTTGATGTACCTAATTTTAATTGGTCAAATCTTTGTCAACACTAAATCTACTTTGGCAAATAGAATTATACTCTAAAAATCTTAATAAATCAAATAATACCATAGTTGACCAAATCACAAATGAACATAAATTTTATTGTTGAATTCAAAAATGACAATGACTAATTATCAACATAAAACAATATGCATGTAAACAACAAGTAAAGACGATGACACTGCAAATAAAAATGAAAATATCGAAAAAACACATATATGACTCCCTAGAGGAGGGTGACAGGCCCAGAAAGGAAGGAAGTGACAACGATGATGGAGGATGGATGGCAGTAGGTGGCAACAACGTTGGGTGACATGGGAGGGCTAGCAGTGTGTTGAGAGGAGGTTGACAGCAAGTGGCTGCAATATAGAAGGAAGTAGGAGAGGTGGCAGGGGACTGGATAGTCGAGGAAACATTGGTCATAGGAGTGGACAGCGCTAGGAACCGGTGCTTAGGGATGGACAACTATAATAATAGACTCTAAGGGTTAATTGCAGCAAGAACTGGGCTGTAAGGACTGATGACAGTAAGAACAGGGCCTAGGGGGTTGACGATGAGAGGTGGCAGGGGACTGGATAGTCGAGGAAACATCATTCATAGGAGTGGACAACGCTAGGAATCGGTGCTTAGGGATGGACAACGATAATAATAGACTCTAAGGGGTTAATTGCAACAAGAAATGGGCTGTAAGGACTGATGACAGTAAGAATAGGGCCTAGGGGGCTGATGACAGTAGAAATAGGACCAAATGGCCACTGCAGCTTTTGAAAGGCAACTAGAATTAAGACTAGGAAGAGGGGTTGGAAGGCATGTGTGATGCCTGGAAAGAGTCTGAAGGGTTGGACGACAATGGAATACATGAAGGCTAGGGTGCGGGGGAGATGTTAGCAAGTAGGTAGAGGGGCGTATGGAAGGATAACTACCCTTGCGAGATCAGGTTACATTCAGAGCACCCCTCAAACTTTTGGAGAAGATAACCACCTCAGACGAGTTATATTTGGATCACCTCTTCGCCTTTAGATACATCCCTGAAAGGGACGAAAGTCTTCAACGACAAGCTAGACAAATATATGAATCCAAGAAAACTAGAAGTGCCCCTAACCAAAACAAACAACACCTATATGTAATGAGGAATTGTAGATAAAATAGGTAGGGAATATAAATAGCATGGTGATGGAAACGAAAGGAGGTAGAAAGGAAAAATGCTAGAAAATGATGGGATAGCAAGTTAAGGAATCAAACAGGAAGAAGGGGTAGAAGGGGCTGTAAGTCGATAGCTCCTCTGGGTTGAACCGCATTATTGTAGCAGCTACAGTATCGCATTAGCGGTGCTCTAGTGGCTATAGTATGGTCGTTATGGTAATCTCACGCCAATCTCTCGATGTTAGGTGGAGCTTCAACTTCATTTGTCGGAGCTTTAGGTCTTTGTAATACGAAGTCAATTCTGCAATATTGAACATAGCAAAATATTTTAGTCTCTTGATAGGTTGATTTTGTAGGCATTGTCAATGCACAACACGCCTTGATAAAATAAATATGCATTGTTTTTTGACACATCTTGAGCTGGAGCTGCATATATGTAGGCTTTCATGATGTAACTCTCTAGCCATTTAGTCTGAAACTCGTTTCTTCTACTTATCGTACTCAGTGGAATGTAACTGATAGATAAGTATGTGAGGCAAAATCAACTTTGGGATACAATATGTAGCAGGTTGCGTCACTCTCACTAGGAACCACTTCGGAGAGACCTCTTTCTTCACTGATAGGACCTATATCGCATTAAATAATTTTCTTTCCCATCAAGCTCTTAAGGCAAATTTCAAGGATAAGGTTCATCCCTCTATCCGGACATTTGGTGATGCGTATATCTGGGATCAACTAAAATCGATGATGTCTCTTCCTTGTTTGTTAAAAATTGAAAATCCTCTGTGAAGCATTCAAATTCTTTTGAATTACTATTTATTTTTCCAATCATTCCTTGATCGGTGTAAGTGATCACTCTCCTGATTGTGCAATCCAATTCACTGTGCTACATAACATATGAAGCATTTCTTGGCTGGGACAGATTTAGGAATGCAGCTTGATTCCCTCTGTTCTCCACTTAATCAATGTTTGCTCAGACAAGCTTGGCTTGAATGTTCTCCTAGATGTAATATGGTTTTAAACTTTGACTGAAAGATGGAGTGGTCGCTCGACAATATGTTTTATCCACTTATGAAGCTAGGATCTGAACATTATGCTTATAGTAAGCTAATAGGAGCAGGTGTTGTATATACTGCTTCATCTTCGGGTTCTCCCATTCTCCCCAACTATTTAGATCACAGTCAAGGGTAATCTCCCTATGGGTTTCATCCTTAATGTCCACAAGCTTTCATTGAAGTCAACAAATCTCTCGCTATATCTCTTCCCTGACAGACTCGAGCATGTCTTCTTAGTAGCATGACTAGGTTCAGGATTGAGAGGTGAAAGAGAGAGCATGAGAGTAATTGAGGTGCAGAAAAATTAATTTGGGATTGTATATTTTGAATATTAGCAAATCAAGGTTAGGGTTAGTCAAAATTTGGCTATAGTTTCCAAGTAGGAAAAAAAAAATTGTGTGGAGGGTTGGAGTGGATGCTCAGAAACCCTAGGATAAGACTAGAGTTAGACTCGTTATGATATCAAATGATACTGGAAAACCCAAACCATGACCAAATGATAAATTTTATTGTTGAATTCAAAAATAAGAACGATAAATTCTCAACATAAAACAATACAAACATGTAAATAACAAATAACAACTTTTGTTCAATCCACGAAGGTTAACTTGTTAGTTAGTATTTTGCAAACTACTCGAGCTACTGATAATTTTTCTTTATTACTTTAGATCGTCCTAAAATAAATCCTTGATTTTAATTTTTCTCTTTATTTATGAAGGGGATGTAATAGATATGTTTATGAAGAAGATATCTCATAATTAAATCAATTACTATTTAAATAATAAGCATTGATATCTCGATCAGTGTTAATTAATAATTTTAGAAATTTGATAAAAATAATAAATGCAACTTAATTAAATTAAATCTTATGAATAGTATTTTATTTAAATTATCATTTTTAATCAATTAGTTTTAATTATCAATAATAATTTATTTTTTTAAAATATAGCCTTTTTAGCCAATACCAATTGTTATCAGGGAAATTCACATCAAGCCATACAAATCTTATATTTTTACATATGTGCCGTCTAAAGTTTGATATTTAATAGTGATATTTTTTATGTAATTAAAAAAAGTTAATTATATAAATTTAAAATCTAAAGTTTAAATGCTAGATATGTAAAGAAATAAGAACCTGACGATATGTATACAATGAGAAAAATATTACATCTGGACTCCAGACATAGAGCTACATTAGGAATCCACTGATATGCTGACACGTGGATTCAAGAAAAAGCGCGTGGTTTTCAGTGATCCGGCCCTGTAATACAAGAGAATATCCCTCCTGTGTTATTTCACGTTATTCATGTGTTATTGTGACGGCCCTGTAATACAAGAGAATATCCCTCCTGTGTTATTCCACGTTATTCATGTGTTATTATGGCGGCATTGATATAATTATTGTGTTATTATAACACCGAGAATATTCCCAGAACACAATAACACATGAATACCACCACAATTACACCTGAATAATGCGAAATAACACTGGAGGAATATTCCTCTGCACTAAAATGATTTTTTTTATTTTTCTGTCATCTCCAAGTGTCCGCATATCAGTGGACTCCGAACATAGCTCTACGTCTACGTTCGGAGTCCTGATGTAATATATTTCCGAATACAATGGCCTATTAATAAATTTTTTGGAAGATTTGCATACATTCCAATCCATTCATATGCATTTACATATCTAACACCTAAGATTTAATTACCTTTTTTATGTATGAAATTACTTATTCCTTTAAAAAGTTAAACTAGTGATATTTTTGTAGCGTTATAAAAGATTTGTTCGGTAGAAATGTAAAATAATAAATTTTGGATGTTAGATATATAAATACATAACAGTTTGGTGGTATGTATATATATATATTTGAATCTTAAACACTGGAAGACCGTCGTGAAAACCCTCGAAAAGAAAGCCGCCATGGGAACTCGCTGGAAAAGCCATCGATAGGACGACAGCTGCGGTTGAAGAAGAAGCGGAGTTCGCGAGGCTTGTGAAGTTAAATTGAATCCGTCCAATCTCCGCATTTTACTAAATCAAGGATTTGAGGTATAACGATGGAGAAAAGGGATCGAATTTTATGTAGGATTTAATGTTGTCATTTTTGTTTTTTTAGCTGGATTTAGCATAATTCCTGCTCAAATCCTGCTACCGAACATTCATTCATAGTGTTTGAAGTTTTTATCGACGTTCTATGCCAATTAATCTCTCTTTATATGCGTCATTAAGTTTCATCTCAATCCTTCAAGTAGCATCCCAATTATCATCCATTAATTTCACTATCGGCTTATCCCCGCTGGAGAATACTTTTGTCCGTTGGATAAAAGCCATCGATAGGACGACAGCTGCGGTTGAAGAAGAAGCGGAGTTCGCGAGGCTTGTGAAGTTAAATTGAATCCGTCCAATCTCCGCATTTTACTAAATCAAGGATTTGAGGTATAACGATGGAGAAAAGGGATCGAATTTTATGTAGGATTTAATGTTGTCATTTTTGTTTTTTTAGCTGGATTTAGCATAATTCCTGCTCAAATCCTGCTACCGAACATTCATTCATAGTGTTTGAAGTTTTTATGGACGTTCTATGCCAATTAATCTCTCTTTATCCGTAGATTGAGTTCATATGGGTCATTAAGTTTCATCTCAATCCTTCAAGTAGCATCCCAATTATCATCCATTAATTTCACTTTCGGCTTATCCCTGCTGGAGAATACTTTTGTCCGTTGGATGCCCTAATCCAGTAGCCCTCCCACATCGCCCCGACGCCTCCTGCTTCCGATTTCGCACGCGGCATTAATCTCTCTTTATATGCGTCATTAAGTTTCATCTCAATCCTTCAAGTAGCATCCCAATTATCATCCATTAATTTCACTTTCGGCTTATCCCTGCTGGAGAATACTTTTGTCCGTTGGATGCCCTAATCCAGTAGCCCTCCCACATCGCCCCGACGCCTCCTGCTTCCGATTTCGCACGCGGCGGCACGCCTTCCTCATTCTCCCTGCCACGCCGAGTTCATCGCATTCAGTTTTGGTTCCATTAGTTAATTTCAAGTGATGGTGTGGTATTAAAGCGACAATTAGTTGATCAATCACTCCACAGATGATATTATGTTATATTTTCAGCTTTTAATGGCTAGAACTTAGAAGCTTGATGCCAAATTAGTAAGTCTCATTCAGTTTTTTAAAATTCCGTTAAAATTTACCTTATTCATTTTTTAGAATCTCAGCTTAACAGTGGCTATGCAATGCAAGAAATGCAAGCAAAATCAATTAGATTGATTACAATTTCATGAGATTTTAGGCTTTTCTTTTCTAGTGTTTTCATGTATATCATTCGTTACATATGGAATTGTTTTTTTGCATGGTTTATCTTTTTCATGACTCTTGTTTTTATGGTGTTTTCATTAGCTGAGTTGAAATTAGTTGATTTGCATGGATGTAAATGGATCTCACTACTTTCAAGTTGGACATAGATGAGCTTGTGGATGACTTCACTCGGGTACAGTTCCCTGGTTTTCATTTTACCATCTTACCTTTCTTGAGGTTGATAAACTTTTGAGTTATTTGGGGCATATACATTCATACCACTCAATTCCTATGTATTTACATACCTAACACTTAAACATTACTTTTTTACATTTATGCCACTGAAATCTTTCATATAACATAAGTAATACCACCATTTTAACTTTTAAAATGTGTAACACACCTTTTCATGCATAGAAATTGAACTTTTAAAATGTGTAACACACCTTTTCATGCATAGTTGAGTTGGGAGCATGTAAAAATTGAAGTGTAGGTGTTAGAAATGTCAATACATAGGGTGGTCTTTATGTAAATCTTCCTATGTTTGTTTTGAAGGAATGTGAGGGAATTTAAATGCATTTACTTTACAATTTCATATTGATTGATAAAAAGGTATTACTATTCGGGAAATGTTGATCAATTTATTTTTTCATTTTACATTTTCTACCCAACTTTGTACAAAAAGGGAAGAAAATTTCATTTGTTCATCATTGAGACTCATGCTCTGTCACATTAAACAAAAACTTAATTCAATTTAATCGTTGTTCTATTGCCATTTTTTTTCCTCTCAATTTCTTCAAGTGAAATAGAGCCTTTATGAAATTCATTTGAAAAGTAGCTCTCTTTTTTTTTTTTTTCCACTGGCAGGAAAACTCAACTGAGTTGACAGACTTTAAAAGGGTGTGGTTTGCTAAGAAGTTCTCTTATATTTACGAAGCAAGTCCAAGAACTAACTCTGTCTTTTTTATGCAATCCCTGTTCGCACATTCCATTGGTTCGTTCTGATGCTTCTGAAACTTTTTTTTCCTAATTGCCGTCAGCCAAGCCTTAGAACGTTAGATTGAATATATATACTCTTAACAAAAATTTATCGGTTCTGAAATTTTGATATTAAACAAATCTCTAATGACAACTAAGCTGTGCATTCAGGTCATATGAGCTCATCAACTTCTCTATTTCAGAGATTAGGAGGGCTATACTGTCTCTATTGTCTATATGAGACTCAACCATACAAACCTCGTGTCAAGATTTATTTGTGTTTAGGTATCAAGTGGTTTTTAATCGGTGATTATTGATATTTGACTCTCTTATTTTACCTCTAAATATTCATTCTCCCTTCATACTACTTATTTTATACTTTGGTTTTTTCTTTGTGGCATTTACATACATACCACCCAATTCCTATGTATTTACATAACTAACACCTAAACTTCTCTTTTTACAGTCATACGACTTTAATCTTTCATATCACATAAAAAATACTACTATTTAAATTTTAAAAAGTGAAATACATTTTTTTATGCATAGCAAAGGTGGTATATATGTAAAAATTAAAGTTTAGGTGTTACATATGTAAATGTATAGGAAATGAGTGGTGTTTATGTAAATCTTCCTTTTCTTCTTTTATTTTTTTTCTTATGTAAATCTTCCTTTTCTTCTTTTATTTTTTTTCTTAGGAGAGCTAAAGAGGCTCAAATTGTTGGTTGTTGATGCTAAAGAAAATGGAATTCGAGTCGTACCTGCTCTTGTTAAAAAGATGCTTACTGAGAACATGTTTCTATTTGGTTCTTCTGACAGTGGTTCGACCACACAAGGGGCTGATGCTGCTAAAAAGTTGCAGGAGAAAAACTTTCAAATCGCATATGAGAAGTAAAATCTTGTTTTTGGTTCTATCATTTATATTAGAATATTTTAATGGCTAGTAATAATCATTTTTTAATTCTGATTATTCTGAGTTATTTGCTTTGATTCCTTTTTTTTTTCTATTATATTCAGTTTTAATTTTTTTCCTTTCTATTATATTCTATGTTTAATTTTTTTTTTTTTTCAGTTGATCCTGTAATGGGTATATATACCCCTCTTTGTATCAATAAGATGTATTCTAGTTATATTCCAACATGGTATCAGAGTCATGGTCCTAACTTAGGCTGCTGAGAAACTTCTTGCTCCATTGGTCTATTTAGATATGCTTTCTCCCACCAAGAACAGTTGCTCTGTTGTTTGCTTCCTCTAGAGTTTCCAACAACTTATCCCAGTGGCTTCTTTGTCTTCTTTTGGCAATTCCAGCAACTAATCCCAATTATGTCGTTGATCCCAACAACTTCTTCGTTTTCTCCTGATGATTCCTCTAGCGATTCCTTTGGCAATGTAAGCACATGATTCCTCTATCCGCTTACTCTGGCGATTCCTCTAACAATATAAGCACCTGCTTTCTTCCCAGTCATCAGATAATCCTCCAAAATCGCCGGTTTGGCCTCCCTGCGCCAAGTGACTTCCTCCCAACTACCGGAACGCCTTCCTAAGAGCTCAGTCTTCCTTTGAATTCACTAGATTTCCTTTGTTCTGCTCGCCAGTGCTTATATTTCAGTCGGTTAAGGGTTTAGTCAAACTAAAAGTTCTCCTCGGGGACAGGACAACCATATCTATACTGGAATCTTTCAATGTCCCATCAACCCAACTTTTAGTTTGGTTCAGTTGGGATTATGGTAAACTTCTCAACAAAATGGGGTTGTCGAGAGAAAAAATCAACCTCTCATCGACGTCACTTTCTTCATTATATTTCACTATAATGTCCCAAAATGTTTATGGATTGATGTCATTTTTACCACCAATTATCTCATAAATAGAGTCCCTCAAAAAATTCACAACTTTCATATCTTTTTATCCATCTTGAGATCGTTCTTTCCTAACAATCATGTCTTCTCCAATTTAGACCCCAAAATTTTTGGGCGGCACAACTTTTGTTTAGAACACAGCCCCAACTTGGAGTAAAGTTGATCCCAAGTCCATAGAATGTGTCTTTCTAGGACACTCTGCCACTCAAAAGGGCAGTGTCTTGACCGTACCATAAATAAGATCTATATGAGTGTTGATGTCTCCTATTTTGAAAATGTTCTCTACTTTCCTAACTCGACCTCACATGAGGGGGAGCTAGAGTTCTTGGACACCGTTTCTTCATCTACTCCTGTGGATGTTTCCCTCACGTCACCTATCATCGATGAATATTTGGTTCCTTTTGTTCTACCCATATCTTCTACCACTAAAGAGCCATCTATCCCTTTGATTCCACCTACACACTCAATCTTCGTGTCTGCACTCGACGAACTTGTTCTGATGTACCTACAGGAGCTCGTTAATCCCTTGCTGGACCTTGAATCCTCTCCATACGACATCCCCAGGACTGCTCCGACTCAAAATTAGGAAGTCAATTCCCTAGTAAGGTACGCAACCAGACATGTTCTCTCTATCCTATGACAAACTATGTCTCCTTTCTCAAATTATGGTCAACTACATAGCATTTGCTATGAACCTGACAAATCATCAACTTCCATTTACTATGGAAGTTGCTTTAGCATACCCAGCCTAGAAAGTTGTTGTCATAGAGGAGATAAATGCCCTTAAGCGAACCATATTTGGGACATTGTTGATCTTCCTCAAAGCAAAAAAATAGTGGGTTGCAGGTGAATTTTTAGCATGAAGTTTAAATCTGATGGATCATTTGAACGAAACAAGGCACAATTGGTTGCCAAAGGTACTCATAGACCGACAAAGTTGACTACGAGGAGACATTTTGCTTCAGTGGCTAAATTAAACATCAATCGAGTTCTCTTATCCCTGACAATGAATCGGGATTGGCCCTTAGTCTAGCTTGATGTCAAAAATGTGTTCCATAACAGTGATGTTATAGAAGAGATTTACATGGTCCGTCTTCTAGGCTTTGACTCCCCAGCCTCTCAGGGGCAAGTATGTAGACTGCGAAAGTCCCTCTATGGACTTAAGTAATCACCACGAGCATGGTTAGGGAAGTTCACAAAGCTGGTGGTAGGCCACAAATTCACTTAGGCTCAGTCAGACCACACTCTTCTTTTGACAATTTTCTAGTAACCAGGTAGCTATTCTTATTGTTTATGTCGATGATATTGTTCTCACAGAAAATGATCAACTAGCATTGGAATCTCTGAAAGACATTCTTGCTACCTCCTTTGAGATAAAGGACTTGGGATCTCTCCGGTACTTCTTAGGCATGGAAGTTATTTGATCATATCAGGGCATTTGTCTGTCTTAGCGGAAGTATGTCATTGGTTTTTTTACAGAGAACAATCTTCTTTTATGCAAACCAGTAGCTATTTCGATGGATCCAAATGTAAAACGTTTTGTTCTTCCACTACAAGGTATTTAAGTTTCCCCACAAGGCGTCGATAGAAATTCAATTCATGCATGACCCCGATGAGCACCATTTACAAGCTGTTCATCAGATTTTCCACTATTTAAAAGACACATCGGGCTCAGGTTTGTATTTTTCCTCGCCACACTTCTCGCAATATTGTTATTTTCACAAATGTTGATTGGGTTGGATCCGTCCATGATCGACGATCTATTTTGGGGTACTGCTCATTTGTGTGGGGAATACTGGTCACGTGGAAAAATAAAAAACAGTCTGTAGTTGCCTGAAGTAGTGCTGAAGCAGAATTTCAATCCATGTCACTAGGATTTTGTGAGGTTCTCTGGTTACGCATTATGCTCCGAGAACTGCGCATGTCAGTCATCTTTCCCCTACAGTTGTTTTTTGATAACAAGACAACCATTAACATTACTCACAATCCGGTGCAGCATGATCGCACCAAGCACGTTGAGATTGACCGATACTTCATCAAGGAAAAACTCATGATCGCACCAAGCACGTTGAGATTGACCGACACTTCATCAAGGAAAAACTCGTGTTCGTGGAAATTTTCGTTCTGTTTGTGTCATTCAGTAGCCAACTGACAGATATCCTCACAAAGAGCCTTCCTCGGACACTATTCCATAATTTAAAGTCCATGTTGAACATGACTACATCTATGCTTCAACTTGAGTGGGGGGGGGGGGGGGGGGTATTAGAATATTTTAATTGCTATAATTCTAATTATTATGAGTTATTTCCTTTCATTTACTTCATTTTTATATTATATTCAATTATGTTTATTTCCCTTTCTATTATATCCTAAGTTTAATTTTGTTACTTTTTAGTTGATCCTGAAATTGATATATATACCCTTTTTTCTATTAATAAGATGTATCCTGGTTCTATTTCAATAATTTATATTTTCCTTGAAGAAATTTGCGTATGGTTGATGAAAAAAGGTAAATTAGATGCAACTGCTTATTAGTCCAGTTTTTTTGCATCCTGTAGTATTGAATTCAATTTATTTTAGTATGAATTTAGTAATTTAACATTCAGATTCTAATTATTTGTTTGATTGGTTTCAGATTATTGTCTAACACTGAGATTGATGACTATGTTCATATGAACCTTGTAAGTATTGTTTACTATAATAAATTTAAGGGCCATTTACGTACATACCACATAATTCCTATGTATTTATATCTCTAACACCTAAACTTTCATATTTACATGCATATCACTCAAATCTTTAACATCACAGGAAAAATATCACCATCACTATCTTTTTTTTAAAGTCAAATACACTTTTTCATGCATAGGATTATGACACCAAGGTGTTATAATTGTAATATCAAAATATTAGTGTTAGATATGTAAATACATTTGAATTTTTTTGTATGTATGTAAAGTCTCTTAAATTCAATTTTTCATGTTTCCCCTACCATATACTCATTGAATTTTTCATACAGCATGATTCAGGATTAGTTTTCCCATGACTACTAATATGATGGCACTCCTACTCTCATGCAAAAAAAAAAAAAAAATGATGATTCACGGGTTGCTATTTACCAAATATACGATAAATTAACTTTCTTTAAATAATACATGCATTATTCAAGTTCTAGTCCATTTGATAATGAAATGCTTGCAAATTACTTTTCATAGAAATCAGATTTTTGACGTGGTGTTTTTGTTGACCAAATACTGTTTAATTTTCTTTTGATTTCCCTTGAAGATATTGTGATAAATTGAAAAATTTCATATGTAAACCTAGTGGCCGGATCAACTTTTCTTTTTCTTTCTATGCATTTAGTGACATGAAAGAGATGCAAAAAACGGTTGTTAAACCATATAATTCTTTTGGTACTGGATTTGCATTTTTTACTGGATTGTAACCCATATCTCTTGCTTTCACAGGTTAATATTATACCAAATTGCACTTGTTATAGAGGACGTACGGTTAACATAATCTCTGATTCTAGTACATAAGCAATTTTTTTTATTTTTATATTCGTCTGAGATTTACGACCCTTATTGCTTGCTCTCGTCGCTTGGTATTATGGCAGATTCCACTTGTAGAAAAGGACACATGATCATGAAGGGATCTTTTATTTGAGGTTCAAGTTTAAAAAAATATAGTATACAAATACTTTATTGATATGAATTTATAAAGTTATATAGAAAACAAATTATTATAAGAATAAAATTTATTTGAGTAAATTGTCAAATAGTTCCTTGACTATTTACATTGTCCATTTTAGTCCCTAAGTTTATAAAAATGTCAAATTAGTCATCCTACTGTTTTAATATGGGCTGAAATAGTACTGAGAAATGATTATTTTAGACCTGTTAAAAGATCTTAGGGACTAAATTGACTTTTTTTATAGATTATGGCGACTAAAATGACTCCCTACAAAGAATCAAAAGGACCATTTTGACATTTTTCTCTAATTTTTTTAGATTCTTATGATGTACTTATCTTAAATACAAACTATTATAGTTAAGCCATGGAATATAGCGAGTGACAATCCTTTAGAAAGTTTGAAAGTACATGGTAAGAAATGAATTCATTAGGTTTGCTATCACAAAGATAATTTTGATCGGCTAAACTTGTGGACATCTTTCTTTGTTGCCTGTAGAGTTGGTTCAATAGTTATGTCTCTACAAAAAAGAATTCAATAAGAGCATGATCATTATCAACATTATCTTCCTAACGTGAAAACTTGCAATTTAATATGTTGTGAAACAATTGTGAAATAGTGCTGCAAGCCTTGTTTTTGAGCTTCGATCTTGTTCAAGGGTGTAAAACATTGACCCAACACGCCAAATCAACAAACTTGAATTGAAAAATCATGATTCAGATTGTGAATCCTAACACATTTTTGGGTGGGCTTTGGGTTGTTTTGCCAGCCCAAAATTGATCGAAACTGACCTGCTAAACCAACATTGACCCGAAATTTATTCGCCACCCCGAAATTGACACATGAATAACATGAAATTGACTGGAATAACTATTCCAGCTCATGTTAAATATGTTATACAAGTCAGTTTTGGGTAAGCAGGTTGAAAGTGGGTCGGGTTTAAGTTGTATTTTCAGACTCGTTTAACATTTGGGTCTGGTTCGGGTCAAGTCAGTTTCTTGTCGGACCCAAATTTGACCCACAAACCCGATTTAACACCACCTAATTGTAAAAGTTTGTAAAATTTCAATCACAATAATACATCACTTGCAAACCGTAGCATCACAAATAATTTAAGACTCGACATTAGCCTGTTATAATTAGCTCAACTTTTGAAATTAGTTTTTTTTACACTTATTTCATTTTTCAGTCTTGGGTGCCTACTTTGGCTATTCTCCTTGGTATATTTTAACATATGGAGTTTCTTCAAAGATTATCTTTGTAGGAATCTTAGGTCGGTTCGAGCTTGCATAGAGTTCTTCGTAAGAGGTACCCAAAATCTCTGACCGAAGATGGTTGTGTTTTTAATGTTAGTCCTTAACATGTTTATAAATTACTCTATATACTGTCAACTTATTGCCTAGGTGATATATGGTATTCTTATTTTGTAGATTCAGATTACGGTATTATAATTCAAACATTCTTGCCTGAAACCATGTGCATTTTTTTCCACGGATCATTGAAACTCTGTACTTTATCTATGGTTCCCTTTGCTTAAAGCATTCAACTTTAGGAAATGATGTTTTTTATTGACTTCATTTTGATTCAAATTTTCTTGCACGCTGAAGATTATTAGTCTAATTAATTTAGTAAATGCACATGCACTTTTTGACTGCAATTCCTGACTGCAATTCCTTTTTTTTTTTTGGCTGATTTTACCCCATCATAATAGGGCGTGGAGCTTGGTCTAGAATCATTTAAGAAAATGTCAACAGATTATGTGAAAGCTAAGGAAGAAGCTATTAAAGGTGTCCTTTTAAACTTATTCTTTCGCCTCCCTTGTATTTTTGAACATTTTTTTTCTCTGAGAACGTTGTTATAATGAAGGCTTTAAGTTGTAAACCTTTCATTGTAAGAATTATTATGTTACTATAGTCTTATTTTGTGATATGGATTTATTTTTAAACCTTCCATTTAGTATAATATTGAAGTTGACGCTCAATGAATTAGGTAAACTTTATGTGGCATTAGGTAATTGTGATGTTCAATGAATCTATTTATTAGTTATGTTCATGTTTATTTTCTCGAATCTCGAGACTTTTAAGTGATTTCATCAATTGTGTTGATAAAATGATTTGTTCTTCACTATAAGATTCAGCAATTTTTATTGAGGACCTTATATTTTAAATAGGTATTCTTAGGATGAATTTTACGATATTGATCGAGTTTATTTTTAGAATGAAGAGAATTATCTTTGCATTATTTGTGATATTTTTTGTTCAAGTGCTCGGCTCGAATATCTTTTACAACATTTGATCAAGCCTTAAATTTTTTTTTTTTTTAATTTTTGTGGCGAGAAACAACTCTTTCACAAGATGTGCTATACGACAATATTGTAAGAGAATTATTCTTAATTTTCCTATAACGTTGATACCTTCTTAGTGATATAACCATCATAATCTGTGATTCAAGAAATCTATAATTTTTAAGGATTTTACCTGCCTTGGAAACTAGATGGTTGTATCTTCATGTTTATAACTCTCATTCGCTTCTGTGCTGCTTTTCCTGTGTCAACAGAAGCTAGCAAATCCATCAGCGTGGAGGACATAAAACACATAGCAGAAAATGCTAGTTTAGCAAGCGACGCGGTTGATAAACTGGTGAAAGAATGGGATTCTCAAAAGGAAATATTTTACAAGCAGACTGGTCTTGGTAACTGCCGTGCAATAGTGACAGTTGATGATGAGGGTTTCGCCGAGGTGGAACGCTTGTTAGATGAGTGAAGATATCTTCCAAAATTCAGGTTTTTTTCAACTACTTCCTGCCCAAAATTTTAAATTTGTTTGGGTTTTCTTTTGTTTTTTATTTTCTAGTTTTATTTTATTTTATTTTTGTTCATATTTTGATTTGAAACAAAACATATTTGGTATGAATGATTAAGATATGGTTATTTTACTATTGTCAAAATTATTTTTAGTCATTTTTAAAAATTAAAAAAAAATATTAAAAACATGTTAAACAAACATGTTTTGAAAAACAAAAACAAATATCAAAATTTATCCCGAATAAAACCATTAGTTATGTTCTCTTTCTATTTCGTGCACATAATAGGTTTCTGTCTTTGCTTGATGGTTTGATGGCCATTGTTAGGCTAAGTGCTGTATTGTTATAGAGAAATTATTTTTTTTTGGGAGAGTTTGATTGCGGAAGCGTAAATTTGATGTATTTAGGATTTATTCTTAGGATTTTGAGAACAAGTTTATGGTTTTACCTACAAGTTTATGGTTTTAGTTTGGTTAAATTATAAGTCAGGGTTTAGGGTTTATGCTTTGCCCCTAGCTTGATACTATAAATTATATTTTTTAAGAAAATAAATTTATTAGATTTATTTTTTAATTTGATGCAGTTAAAAATACATTATATCTATTTACTTTTTAAACATCATAGTGGAAATTATATTAAAAAACAAATGAATTTAGTAGATTTTATTGTTAATTTGGTTATGGCGCGTGTTTTTTATGTGAGCTTTATATCTGTATTTTCAAATTTCAGATCTTTTGTGCATGCAACTCTTCCATCACTTGCCAAAACTGACCATCTTCAATTTAGGCCCAATATAGAAGCAACATCTTTGTTCACAGGACTCATATTATCATTTAGAGATGGTGATAAAGAAAGAGTAGAGAAAAGCAGGGAAAAGGACAAAGATCTTCCTATACACATCAGGAAAAGGCCTAATTTTCATTAGGGGTATTTACACGTATACCACGCAATGCCTATGTATTTACATAACTAACGCCTAAACTTTATTTTTTTACACCTATTCCACCCAAATCTTTCATATCCCTTGAGAAATGCCACCAGTTTAACTTTTAAAAGGTGAAATACACCTTTTTATGAGGTAAGGTGGCATGTTTGTAATAATTGAAGCTTAGCTGTTAGATATGTGAATACATAAGAATTGAGTGGTATGTTTGTAAATCTTCCTTCATTGTTTAATCAATTAGCAGAGTGAATTAGAATTCTTGACTATTGGTGTTTCTCTTTTACTCAGTTGAAGGATCCAAAATTTTATCTTTTTTATTGGGAATGGTGAGCGATAAATAATAAAAGTATGTATAACTCGAACCACTTTGGAGAATCAAAATTCTCCAAATTCTAGGCCACGGGCTCTTTCAAAAAATTCCTTTACTTAAGTTTGCATCAAGTCATATTCTAAGGGGTTATTTGGCTGCAAGAAATATTTATTATTAATAGGATTTAGTAAATCTGTAAACTCACAAATTTACTGAAGTCATGGATTTAGTAAATCCACGATTTAGGCCGAATCACAGGCAAAATTGGATTCAGTAAATCAGTAAATCCACCAAACTCCTCCCATCTTGCCATTTGGCTGGATTTAGTAAATCCGGTGATAAATACTATTAAAAGCCTTTACCAAACAGCCGTTAATGAGAAAAAGGACAATTTTTTTTTCAATGATCGGTTTAATCTACCACATTTTCCTCTAGTAGCATCGCCCTCAAAAATCATCCATCATTGATAGATTTATTATTATTATTTATTTATTTTTTATTTTTTATTTTGTCAGTATGAGATTTGAGGATCATTACTCAGAAGGAGAAGCATTGTTTGAGTGGCACTTAGTAGTTGTGATGACATGAATGCTGACTTACACATCTTTGGCTCCTCATCACATATGTAATTTGACTCCTTTTAAAGGGAAGTCAGCAGACACACACATGTTACTTGCCTTCTAGAATAAAATAATATAAAGGGGCATTTACATTCATATAACACACAATTCTTATGTATTTACATAGCTAACACTACTTTCATCTTTACTTACATATCACTCGAATTAATATCTCATAAAAAATGCCACTCACTTTCTAAGAGTGCTAGATTTGTGACACCAAAGTGTCATAAATGTAAATATTAAATTTAGGTGTTAGATGTGGAAATACTTTAGAATTGTCTGATTTGTATGTAAATTTCCCTAGTATAAATGGATTTTTTCCTTACTATTCTTACCGTTATATAAGGTCTTTATGGCCTTAATTCCAGCTATAGATGCTATGTTGAGTTTGTCATCCCAATATTATCCTTAGTAAAAAAAAACTTTTAGTTTTATTAACAAACGTTGATGCCATCACTCCCTATTGCTTTCCAAATTTTATATCGAAAGCTTTTGGCTTTTGGCTTTTTTTTGGTCTGGAAGGGTTTTCGGTTTTCATTTAGTGAATCATGGTTGTAAAAGTCGGATTGGACTCCATGATTGAACCGTGCGGTACTGTGAACAGATCCTTAAACTGGTTGTTTTTCGATTATAATTTGCAGGGATTTGGGCTCATGTGAAAATTAAGGATAGAACAACTCGACTCTTAAAAGTAGGAATACATGAACCAGTTTGAGTAGATTGCATTGGAGAGATGGTGCAGATTGTAATTGAACCTCCATTTAAATCCCAAATAAATATTTAAACCTTGAGCATTACTGTCCAAAGTTCAATTGCCCAATCCAGTTCTCAAAACCTTGAAAGAACTTAAAACCTCATTTAATTTATCTTCGAAGATTTACATACACACCACTCAATTCCTACGTATTTACATATCTAACACCCTAACTTCAATTTTAGATATATGCCACTTTACCCATGCATTGGTATTTTTGATAAGATATGAAAAATTTGGGCAGCGTAAATGTAAAAGCCAAGTTTTAGCTGTTAGATATATAAATACTTAAGAATTGAATGGTATACATGTAAATCTTTATTTTATTTTGCAAAACCTCCAAAAGCCATCCGAAATTTCGGCCCCATTATTGTCTTCTTTGTCCTTTTCACATTCTAGTGCTTCTATTCTACTAGCAGCAAAACTTGACCAGCTAGCTTCTTATCAAAGTCAAAAAAAATCCAACTTGTTTAGTCCTGCCCGTCACTGCTCCTATTCCTTGAAGGGTCAAATATACCACAAAGGTCTGCTGCGCCTTTTATGAGCACAAATACTGTACAAAATTAATTCCTATGGATTTACATATCTAACACCTAGACTTTACTTTTTTACATTTATACCCCCTAAATCCTTCACATCACATCAAAAAGACTTTTGAAAAGTGAAATACACCTTTTTCATGAATAGGTAAGGTGGGGGCATATATGTAAAGATAGAAGCTTAGTTGTTAGATATGTAAATTCATTAGAATTGAGTGGTATGCATGCAAAAAAAAAAAAAAAAAAAAATTCTAGATTGTTTTTTTATAGATGTCAAAGAAAATTTGATTACGAAAACTCTGCTAAAAAGACTTCATTTTGATTCTTAAAAGCATAAATAGATGTATGTGACTCATCTTCTTCCACCCAGCAGCCTGAAATCTCTCTTCCTTTTGTTCTGTGTTCTCTGACACAGAATAAAGAAGAATGAAGAGGAGAATTCTGCTGACATTCTTCCTCTGGTTTATGATCCTTGCACTCTTTGTAACAGCGAGCGCAGGGGCTCTGGCTCATGTGAAGGAACATGAGAATGTTATTCATCCACAAGGTATGGCTTTTTTTACAGAGATTATTTTATTTAATTTGTTTTCAGATTTGCGCAATGAAAGCCTTGGACTGATATATTGAGCTATTCTTAAAGCTAATGCAGTTTCATGAGAATTATTTTGATACAAATTAGTTTAATTGCATAATAGCACCCGAAACATTGCAATTTACAAACTAACATTCATGTTATATTTTTGAACTATCAAATCGATGTATTTACATGTGCCATGATCAAAACATATATATATGCATGATGAATTAAAGGAAAAAATTTTAGGGGCATTTACATATATACCGCACAATTCCTACATATTTAATTTTCAAAAACCTAAACTTTTGTATTCACATGGGTGGCACTAAAATCTTTAAGCTCACATCGAAGGTACCGTCATAACTAATTTTTTAAAAGTCAAATACACCTTTCATACATAGATTTATAACAATAAAAATGTTATAAATGTAAATATAAAACTTCAGGTGTCAAATCTGTAAATTTATAAGAATTGTATGGTATGCATGTAAATTTCCCCATATTTTATAATGGCTAATCTTATGTTTATGGGGCATTCAAATGCATTTACATCTTTAACACAAAGTTTAGTTTTTTACATTTATACCACCCAAATCTTTCATATCATATAAAAAATACTACATTTTTAACTTCTAAAAAGTGACATGCACACTTTTATGCATGGTAAAGGCTGTGTAAATATATATAAAATTTAAGTTTTAGGTAATGGTTTATATGTAAATCTTCCTAATTTCATTTTTACTTGTTTGGTGAAGGCTGCAGGTGTTGCTGGTTCTTTCTGAAGCCAACAATCAGGTGTGGGAAGGTCGTTTGTGGCCAGGAATCCTGCTAAGGTCTGCAAATTTGACTTGAAGAAGATCATAATAAATGAAAAGGAGCCAACTTGGAGCCTTAATAATTAACAAATGTGGACTTGTTGAAATTGTTACTCTACCATTTCTTAATAAAATGAAAGTTTTCTGATTTCAAACATGAATTATGGGACTAAAATGGTCCATATAAATAGGAGCGCATATTATGTCAGGATTCCGAAGGTAAAGTTACGTACGGATTTCAATAATCGTTGTGTTATAAGAATATCCTGTTGTGTTACTGAAATATTACATTATTTGTAAAAAA